TTTTCAGGGACACCACCAAGTCATTGGTTCAGGTATGTTGACGACACTTGGGTTAAAATTAAATCTCAGGAAGTCCAACATTTTACTGACCACATCAACTCTGTGGATAAATACATCAAGTTCACACGAGAAGATGAAAAAAATGGCAAGTTGGCTTTCTTGGACTGTGAGGTCTCAGTCTCTGATAGAGGACATTTGCAAACTGAGGTGTACCGCAAACCCACCCACACAGACCAGTATTTGCAGTTTGACTCCCATCACCCTTTGGAGCACAAGTTAGGAGTCATCAGGACTCTGTATCACAGAGCAGACAGCGTCCCCACTAGCTCAGGAGCCAGGCAGAAGGAGAAATCCCACACAAGACAGGCTCTAGAGCAATGTGGATATCCTAACTGGGCCTTCCTGAAAGCAGAGAAGAAACCCAAACAGGACTCCAGTCAGCCATCAGGTGAAAAGGAGGAACCCAGACCCAGACCAGTGGTCATTCCATATGTTGAGGGAGTATCAGAGAAACTGAGACGTTTATTTTCTAAACACAACGTCCCAGTGGCTTTTAAACCCCAAAATACATTACGGCAAAGACTGGTTCATCCCAAAGATCCATTCCCCTGGCACAAACAGAGCAATGTTGTGTATGCTGTTCAGTGTCAGGAGGGCTGTGATCAGTCTTACATCGGAGAAACAAAACAGCCACTGGCCAAAAGGATGGCCCAGCACAGAAGATCAACATCATCAGGCCAGGACTCTGTGGTCTACACTCATCTCCAGGCCAGCGTTCACTCTTTCAGGGATGAAGATGTTCACATCCTGGATAGAGAGGAACGATGGTTTGAGAGAGGAGTAAAGGAGGCCATCTTTGTGAAAAGAAACCGTCCATTGTTAAACAGGGGTGGAGGCCTCCGGGTTCAACTGTCCCCCTCTTACAATGCTGTGATTGCTAGTATCACTCAGCCCTCTATGAATAGTAAACAGCCATCAGTGTGCTAATGATCCATTGTTAGGCTGATGGTCCTTCTTGAGCATGTGATCACCTGGTTTTGGTTGTCAGCAGCAAAACTGGTTGATCCACTCTGAGAAGGTGCTATTTAAGAGACTGAGCTGAAAACAGCACCTCAGACTGAGGAAGTCTCTCGGACGAGAGACGAAACGTTTCTACATTTTTTTGTTGATTTGCTCTGTTTTGTTTTTTTGAATGTCCAGAGGACCAGATTTAACTTTTTTTGATTTTTCTACCTGGATTATTGAGCATGCATCAGGATATTTTCTTGTTAAATTTTAAAGAAATGCAGTGGCTCATGCATATGCGTGTGCACAATTTGCAGCACCTCAGCAGCAAAACTATTTTTGAAATTCAGCTGATTTGACCATAAAGTGCATTGATTAAGGAATAGTTCAGCTGAGACACACCTTTGCCATAATTTCAAACAAACAAATAATTGTTTTTAGGCATTTATCTTGTTACATTTGCACAGCAACTCGTAATTTGCAGTTCTGCCTTTTACAGTCTCGCTAGTACATTCTCTGATGGTGACTCCAAACAGCCTGTTAGATTTATATCTAGACTGGTCCTGGGGATTTTGATCTGCTCAGAGACAGGATTATAATGAAATTATGACACGGTTCTGACTGGGTTAAACTGGGCCGGCAACTCTAAGTCTCCCAGAGATTCAATATCCGTCAAGGAATAGAGTTTTAATCTGCTTGCTACATCACGTAGAAAGGCTTTTGAAGCTCCGTCTCGTATTTCCTAACACATCAGAACCACATAAGATCCATTGAGATCACACTTAGTCACGCCCCCTCATACACTGACAGGTTGAGCTCCCCTTCTGCGAAGGAGGATTCCAGGACCCTATAAATGAGTAATGACATGTGATATCTGGACTTCCGGTTTGTGATCGCGTCACAGACCGGAGAGTCCAGCATTGTAACTGTAACCTTTTCTTGCCTTGTGTTATGGCCTGAGGCCATTTGGTGGAACAAAAGTGTTTGCAGGTTGATTGCTGACTCAGCTGTGCTGTGGCCCATCTGGGTTTGGCTGCTTCACTTCCTGAATCCTCCCCAGTGGACGTCAATCTGCATCCTGGTTGGCTTCTTCACCTCCTGCTCCTCCAACCACAGATGAGGCCTGCCTATTTAAACCCAGCTCTCCTGCCATTCAGGGCGGCTGTTGTTTAGAGCAGCTCGCCATTAGTATGGGTTTCTGTGTCTTTGGACTTGAGTCTCTTGACGTGAATTATTTGGCTTTGTCCCACAGTTAAATCCTTGCAGTTGCTGTTGGTAGTTGGTGTTGTTGTAAGCCTCTGAAAACAGTTAGAAGGCTTACTTGTTTACTTTTGTTTTGACTCATTGTAAATTTGGTTTGAGTATTCATTCATTTGGTTTACCTTAATTTTGCTATTTGACTTGATTGTGAAAGCTTTGTTGTAATTGGTACTTTGAAAGTACCCCTCCTTTTGTTAATGTTGAATTTTATTTTAAACTGACCAATTAAATTGTTACTTTTATTCAAACCTTTTCCATCTGGGTTTTTAATGTTACCTCCCCTTCTCCTGGCTGAGCCGGGTCGTAACATTAATGGGGGCTCGTTTGGGATGTTTAATGTCGTCCGGGATGTTTAATGTAATCCTGTAACTTAAAAGTAGTGATTGTTTGGTCAGTTTAGCTCAGTGACATTCTTGGTTGAGCAGCTGCAACTTGTTGCACTCGTTAAGCATGGCACAGTTTGATCTTGAGCAGTTTTTAAAGCGTCCCTCTCTTGATCAGCTGGAGCTTTGCCGTAAAGATGATTTGGCTCAAATTGCAGCCCATTTTTCTAGTTTTTGCCCAAAGCAACTCCTTAAAAAGGAATTAAAGAACCTTGTGATGGAGAGACTGGTGGAGCTGAAACTTGTGCTTCCTGAGATTCCTGCTGATGAACCTGCTGTGACTTCTGTTGGCACGTTGCCATCTGCTGGTCCTTCTGCTGAAGGTGATAGAAATATTCTGGGTAAACCTCAAGCAATCTCACAAATGTCAGAAGATGGCACTGAGGTTAGTGAAGGGATTAAGACTCCTTATACTCTTCCTCGAGTTGGTCTTTCTGCTGCCAGTGGTTCGGCTGGATCTCAAGCCAATGCTCGGCTCAAGGTCCGACTTGCTAAATTGCAACTTGAGGCCCAGGAAAGAGCACAGCTTAGGCAGTTCCAATTAGAAATGAAAAGGATGTAAGCTGAAGCTAAAGCTGAAAAAGCTGTGAGAATTCGTCAGCTGGAGCTTGATGCTCAGGTAAGAGCATATGTTTCTGCTGTTCCTGTGAACTCTACCAATGGTTCTGTTGGTCTCTCTGTTGATGTACAAAACAGACACTTTGATGCTACCAAGTACGTTGCTTTGGTGCCTGAATTTAGAGAAGCAGAGATAGACTGCTATTTCGCAGCTTTTGAACGAATAGCACAAGCTTTGTAGTGGTCACCAGATGTCTGGTCAGTTTTGTTGCAATGTAAACTCCATGGTAAAGCTCAAGAGGGTGTTGCAGCACTTCCTCTTGATGAAGTCTTAGACTATGACACAATTAAATCTGCCATTTTAAAAGCTTATGAGCTTGTTCCAGAGGCTTACAGGCAAAAATGTAGGTCTTTTAAGAAAAGTCCCAGTCAGACCTATGTTGAGTTTGCCAGAGAGAAAGGAAATCTCTTTGATAGATGGTGCTGTTCAAGTAAAGTCACTGACTTTGATAACTTAAGAGAGTTAATGTTGTTGGAAGAGTTCAAAAATTGTTTACCAGAACATATTGTAATGCACTTGAATGAACAAAAAGTTGAATCACTGTCTTCTGCTGCTGTTCTAGTTGATGAATATGGGCTTACACACAACTGTTTTTCAGTCTGTTCCAACTAAAAACCTTTCTGTTAAGTCAGTGAGTGATAAAACTAAAACTGTGCAGCAAAAGGATGATAAAGAATGTTTCTATTGTCGCAAGAAAGGACATGTTATTGGTAACTGTTTAGCTTTGAAGCGAAAAACGCAAAATGTACAATCTCAACCAAAAGGTGTGGGATTCATTAAGAGTAAGCCAAATATTGAAAAAAATTGATGTTGACTGCAAACTTGATGCTTGTTTTGAACCATTTTTGTTGGATGGGTTGGTTTCCCTCGCAGGACAACCTGCAGATCAGTGTCCAGTTCGTATTTTGCGTGATACGAGTGGTTCTCAATCGGTTATTCTAGCTGAAACTTTGCCATTCTCTAATGAATCTTCATGTGGATATAGTGCTATTATTCAGGGTGTTGAAATGCGCTATGTTCCAAGGCCTGTGCATTTAGTTCATTTACAATCAAAGCTAATCTCTGGTGTTTTCCCTATTGCTGTTTGCCCAGCATTACCCATTAAAGGTGTTGCTTTACTGCTAGGCAATGATATTGCTGGTTGAAAAGTAACTCCTACATTAGAGGTACTAGATGAACTAAAAAGCTTGGAACCAAATGAAGAACCCAGTCACGTTAACAAGCCTACTTGTGTTCTTACTCGTGCCCAAAAGCTAAAGAAAAAAGCTGAAAATGATGACATTGACTTATCTGACACCTTACTTATGTCAGTTTTTTCAGATCATGTAGAACCTGATCCAGATCTTGCTGTTCCTGCACAAAACAAACAGGATGTCCTACGGTCCTCTGATCCGTTGCTGCCAATCACTCGTGCCCACCTGTGTGCTGCACTGAAGACTGATCCAACACTGCAAAAATGTTTTGCAGGGGTGGTGAGTGCTGATAGAGCTAGAGCTGAGTCAATAGCTTTCTTCATTAATGATGGAGTCCTTCTTCGTAAGTGGTGTCAGTTGTTTTACCTGATTCTGATTGGAATATAGTTGAACAGGTAGTAGTACCTTCAGTTTATTGGAAACAAATTTTGTCTTTGGCCCATGAAAGTCAGTGGTCAGGACATTTAGGTATAACAAAAACGTATTGGTTCATTCTCAAAAATTTTTACTGGCCTGGGTTAAAAACAGATGTAACTCAATTTTGTCGCAGTTGTCATGTCTGCCAGATGGCTGGAAAACCTAACAAACTGATACCCCATGCTCCACTACAACCTATTCCTGCTGTGGGAGAACCTTTTGAATGCTTTATAATAGATTGTGTTGGGCCACTATCTCACACAAAAGCTGGAAATCAGTTTTTGCTTACATTAATGTGTGCTTCAACTCGTTATCCTGAGGCCATCCCACTGAAAAAAATCACTTCCAGCTCAGTTGTCAAAACAATGACAAAATTTTTCTCTACATTTGGCCTCCCTAAAACTATACAAACTGATCAAGGTATAAACTTTCAGTCTAAACTTTTTAGACAAGTTCTCAATGAGTTAGATATACACCATGCTGTTTCCAGTGCTTATCATCCTGAGTCTCAAGGTGCTTTGGAGCATTGGCATCAGACATTAAAGTCTATGCTAAGAAAATACTGCATTGAGGCTGAGAAAAACTGGGATGAAGGAATACCTTTTTTGCTATTTGCAGCTAGAGAAAGCACTCAAGAATCTTTAGGATTCAGTCCAGCTGAATTAGTGTTTGGACATGCACTTAGAAGTCTCCTGAAAGTTCTCAAAGAGAAACTTTTAAACTCAAACATCCTCTAAAGAGAATATTTTGGATTGTTTCCAAGTTTTGTGAGAGGCTACACCACTCGCGTGCCTTTGCTAGAGAGTCCCTTTGTGCTTCACAAAAGTCTATAAGGCAACATTATGATCGTTCAGCTGTCACAAGACACTTTAAGTCTGGTGACAAGGTTCTGGCTTTGCTGCCTGTACCTGGCTCTGCACTTGCTGCCAAGTTTTCAGGACCTTATGAGGTTCATGAGCAGTTAAGTGAAACTGATTATGTGATCAGTACTCCTGACAGAAGAAGATAGTCCAGAGTGTGCCACATAAACATGCTAAAACCATACTTCTCTCGTGACACATCTAAAACCATCAACTTGGACAATGCTGTAGCACAACCCAGTGGTAGCTCAGCATTAACAGTGACAAATAACTTTAAATCTGATCCTGAAGGAGATGGTCTGATCTTGCGTCCCACCTACAACCAGAGCCCATGCCTGTCAAACTCTGAAATGTTGAAGGTGTTGCCTAACCACCTGAGATATTTAACAAAAAGTCAACAAAACGATATGCTGTCTCTGATAAACAATTTTCAGTGCTTGTTTAAGGATGTGCCAACTTGTACCACAGTGCTTGAGCATGACATTGATGTTGCTGGCGCTAAGCCCATCAAACAACATCCTTATCGATTGAACCCAGTCAAAAGAGCTCTAATGAACATTGAAACAGAATATATGTTGCAACATGGGTTTGCAAAGCACAGTTCCAGTTCTTGGAGTTCTCCATGTTTGTTAGAAATTAAACCTGATGGCTCTTCTCGTTTCATTACAGATTTTCGAAAGGTAAATTTTGTGACAGTCACAGATTCATATCCACTCTCCAGAATTGAAGATTGTGTGGATACAATTGGCAATGCCGAATTTGTGAGCAAGTTAGATTTGCTGAAAGGATATTGGCAAGTACCACTTACCAAGCGAGCTTCAGAAATCTCTGCTTTTGTTACACCAGACAAATTTTTACAGTACAATGTAATGGCGTTTGGCATGTGCAACGCTCGCTCCTGCAACATTTCAGCGTCTAATTAACACAGTCTTGTCTGGGTTATCTAACTGTAATGCATATTTGGATGACCTCATTGTGTATACCTCCACTTGGGAGGAACACATAACTGTTTTAAACCAAATGTTCACACGACTTGCAGAAGCTTCTCTAACTTTGAACCTTGCTAAGTGTGACTTTGGAAAGGCTACTGTCACCTACCTCGGTAGATGGGTTGGCCAAGGACAAGTGTGTCCTGTGGAGGCAAAAATTTCTGCCATTGTTGAGTTCCCTGTGCCTCACACTAGAAATGCTTTTGAGACGCTTTCTTTGCATGGCTAGTTATTATAGAAACTTCTGCCGTAATTTTTCAACTGTTGTGCATCCTCTGACATGTCTTTTGAGCCCAAAAGTTGACTTTACCTGGACCCCAGAGTGTCGGCACTCATTTGAAAATGTGAAATCTCTATTGTGTCATACACCTGTACTTTCTGCCCCAGACATGACGCGACCATTTAAACTTGATGTTGATGCCAGTGCAGTGGGAGCTGGAGCTGTTTTATTACAGGAAGGTAAAAATGGAACTGATCATCCCATTTGCTATTTTTCACGTAAATTTAACAGAAATCAGCTAAATTACTCCACCATGGAGAAGGAAGCTTTGGCTTTGCTTCTGGCACTTCAGCACTTTGAAGTGTATCTGGGATCTAGTCCTTTACCCATTGTGGTGTACACCGACCACAATCCACTAATTTTTCTCTCGCGCATGTACAATCAAAATCAAAGACTAATGCGCTGGGCCTTAATTATACAGGACTACAATCTTGACATCAGACATAAAAAGGGTACAGCCAACATTTTTGCTGATGCCTTATCTAGACTGCATTCATAAAAATAAAAATAAAAATTGTATTTGTGTACATATTTTTGTATTTTAAGGGGGGGGAAGTGTTATGGCCTGAGGCCATTTGGTGGAACAAGTGTTTGCAGGTTGAGTGCTGACTCAGCTGTGCTGTGGCCCATCTGGGATTAGCTGCTTCACTTCCTGAATCCTCCCCAGTGGATGTCAATCTACATCCTGGTTGGCTTCTTCACCTCCTGCTCCTCCAACCACAGACAAGGCCTGCCTATTTAAACCCAGCTCTCCTGCCATTCAGGGCGGCTGTTGTTTAGAGCAGCTCGGCACTAGTATGGGTTTCTGTGTCTTTGGACTTGAGTCTTTTGACAGAATTATTTGGCTTTGTCCCACAGTTAAATCTTGCAGTTGCTGTTGGTAGTTGGTGTTGTTGTAAGCCTCTGAAAACAGAAAGCTTACTTGTTTACTTTTGTTTTGACTCATTGTAAATTTGGTTTGAGTATTCGTTAATTTGGTTAACTTTAATTTTGTTATTGACTTGATTGTGAAAGCTTTGTTGTAAATGGTACTTTGAAAGTACCCCTCCTTTTGTTAATGTTGAATTTTATTTTAAACTGACCAATTAAATTGTTACTTTTATTCAACTTGATGCCTTAAAAGGGCACAGTGACAAATTACATCCAATCAACAATCAGATCAAACTAGTGAAAGGAAAAAGTGGGTTGACCAGCAGATCCAAAAGGCAATAAAAACGAAGCCCAGTAGAGAACCGGGGCTGAACGGGACTGTGACAGTCCAAAGAGTGGGTCGTATGACTACATCCCCCGGAGAAAATCAGAGGAACCTGGAACAGCTCATAAGAGGATTTTTTATTTAAAGATAGGAATACCTTTTGTTCAGCCGGGCTGACTACAGACCAGATTCCTCAGGATCAGGACTGCTTTTGGGGGTTAGGTGGTTAGTGAGATAGACTTAGATGGTTGAGGGTTTTATCCTGCCTTGGGGCTCCAAGCGCATATCATTCCACTGTGTAGGAATAGGCTGCTCTATAATAACAACTCAAGAGTTAGGGGATAGGACTCTCCAACCTGGCTCATCGGAGTCAGGAGAGCCACGCCTTGTGGACACAATAGGACCCTGAACAACATACAAAACCCATAAGACAGTCTCTGGAACCTATCATGAATTATCTGTCATTAGAATTGTTGGAATGATCAAATGTAATCAATTATAATGTGCTGATAACGCTGTACCCCTGCAAATCCTTGATTAAAGCAAAGCATAAAATGTAAAATTCTGGACTATCATTTCTACACTTCGGGTTCAAAAAGTTGGAAAAGCTTGGTTCAAATTCATCAAGAAAAGGAGGTTTTTAAAGGTTTCACAGCTTGGATCAAACAACACCCTGGAATCTTGTGCCTAGATTCTAAAGCTACTAGCTCGGTAACAATTGCAGTTCTACATTAGGAGGTGAGCGGCCTAAAAATGCCAGTTTCCCCTTGATTAACGTCCTATCCCCGACTACTAGGTTGGACGAGTCTAGGGGTGAGATAAGGGTGTGGCTAGCAGCTGATGGTCGTGAACAGTCTGGGTGAATCACTTCTGATACAACCTTAAGTAGAATCAACCTAACGTCATTTTGGGTAAAGCTCAAGTGCTAGATTGGTCCGATATACCCCTTAGAGGAGAGGCTACAGTGGGGTTTTGCCATAACTTATGTGGTAACCTCTCTGGCAAGACAAACATGGCGTCCCTGGGTGGGCAGAGACATTCCTTAGATAAGGAGCCCACTAAAAAGTAGAAGTGCATCAGAAAAAATTGACCGAGCGTCGAGGAAAAAAGGCGTGCATCAGGAGAACCTGACTAAGTGTCGTAACGAACCATGCGTCTGGAGAATCAGACCGGGCATCGGCTCAAAACAATCCAAAGTAAGGAATTGCAGGTGGCTGGGTGGGCCCTCAGCCACGTATTCCGCAGTAAACTCTAGGCTAGTGGGTGGGGTAGGGGGCTTACTGAAGATTACTGACCATAATCCATGCAGTAAGTTAGTATTATAGTCTGTGATCATCCCTGAACTGGTGAGCGCAGCCAGGAGGCTTTGAGGAGCAGACACTGGAGATGACAAAAAGCAAAAGCAATGGGGGAAGAGGCGGGACCTACAGAAGTAGAGGTTCTACAGGACTAGGGATGCACCGATCCAGTTTTTAAAATTCCGATCCGATCCCGATACCTAGAACTGAGTATTGGCCGATACCGATCCAGTTCCGATATCATGATCATCATTGATTTTATATGAGGCTGTAATAATCTCCTCTCAAGTACAATTTGTACAAATATATGCATGCATGTCCAAAAAGGCAACTTGAGGTAAGTTTTATTAATGTTGGATAAGTTTTAAAGTTAGAAATAAATTCTGCTAACACAAAACATGTTTCTTTTTATTCCTAGCTTTAAAGTGGATATTAAAATGATTTAAGTGATTGTTTAAAGTTGTTTTATATTTTATAAGGGGCAGATATAAGAATTTTTTCTTCGTTCTGCACTCTTTTCATTCAATGTTTTCTTTTTGATATATTTTTTTTTTATTTTGTTTCATTTAAATGAATGAATAAATGAATTAAATTAAATGTTAAATGGCTTCAAACACATGCTAAGTTCATGGCATAAACCAACAGACATGTTCCTGTTTTTAGTATTTTACATCACTTTATAATGTAGCTGTTTATGTTTTTAATATATATATAATTTTCAAATCATGTTTTTTTATGATTGTCTACTGTTGTACTGATAAATATCTCCTGGAGGGTAAACTATATCTTGACTGCAAGTATCAAGCTGAGAAATCCTTCGTTTTATACAACTGATAGTGGTTGGTCACTAATTATGATGAAATTTAGCAACTTCTCTGTAAATATTTGAGCTCTGTGGTTTCAGTGACGTCTACTTCTTGTTTAATCCGAAGCAGGCAGCCTGATTTGGGGCAGCCGTGCTCAAGTCTGTCCCTCCTCGGAGACGGGCAGACTGAGCAGGGCAGATTGGACTCGGCTGGCCGAGGTCGAGTTGCCTCTTTCGGCTTGACCAAAGAGTACTGCCCCGCTGAAGCCAAGGAGCTTGAATGTCTATCGTAAAACTAACTTTAACGTGGTTTAATGTGGCACTATGGCTCTGCAGACATTGCACAATGCTGTCTTGTGGTGTTTTTAGTGTAAAATACTTCCATACAGTGGACATGTTTAGATGAAAAGTTTGTTAGCTGTTAGCCACAGTGCTGCTAACTCAGTCCTCACATTGTAGCTGGCTGCAAACTATGAACTGGATTTCCTGAATGTGAGGCGGGTCTTATTACTCTGGGTTCATGAGACACGCCGCCGTTCAGGAAATCCATTCTATAGTTTGAAGCCAACCTGCATCATGGATCGGAAATATCGGCAAGTGGATCAGAAAATCCGATACGTAAATTATGCTGGTATCGGAGGCCGATACGATACTGGATCGGATCTGCCCCATCCCTATACAGGACCCAGCAAATGATCCACATGATCCAGAATTCAACCCAACAGCAGGAGCGTTGGTGGAAATTCTCTTGTATGGTAAAGGGTTCACACATTGGGGCCCGTTAGTGCAGGAAAGGTTTAGAGAAAGCAATGTAATAAAGGATGAACACTTGTTGCCGAGTTTGACTGAGTTTATACAAAGAAATGCAGTATTTCATTGTACCAAAGTGTTACAGAGCCGCCGAATGGTGGTTCTGCGCGATCCGGCCAATATAAAAGCCAAAGAAGGTATAAAAAGATGGTTAGGATGGTGGGTACAGAGGCTTGAGGAATGGAACGGAGGAACCCTGACCACCATCATTAGCCCATCAAATAACTATGACCCTATAGTAAAAATGATATCCAAGGCAACAGGCTTGGAGGGGGTCCTAGTAAACTCTAAATCAACAGTGGCTACAAGATATAAAGCCTACAAAGAAGAGTTGAAAAAGATGTGGGCATAAAAAGAAGCAAGAAAAGGCCTAAAGAATAGTCACAGTCAGCAGAGCCTCTGGGAGGACGAGAATAACGACACAGAAGAAGAAATGGTAGACAAAGACACAGGGGGAGACCCTGAACCCGAGAAAATGACTGAAAGGGGACAGATAGCAAAAGGGGGTGAACCAGACAATGATGAACAAAGCCAACTGTTGTACACGTAGGCCCTACAACTTGGGTCCAAGCAGCAGGCCCGAGTGGGGGAAGGAACCCCCTGGAGGAAAAAGGGAACCCAAAATTAGATGATGAGTTAGAGTTCAGTGATGAATCAAAGAATACTGAAACAGAACAGCAAATGGAGGAGTTGGCTCACAGGCTGGTGGATATGATGAGAACCCTGATGATCAAAGGCAGTGCCCAGGGCATAGGAAAATTGTAAAGATCAAAAGTGCAGACTCTGTATGAGAAACCCAAAAATCAGCCGAGCCAACACGAAGACCTGGGTGAGGGTTCAGAAGAAGAATCCAGAGACACCCCGAAGAAGAAAGCTAAAAAGAACAATGTAGAGACAAAGCCTGAATTTGGCTCTGGTTAGGGCCAAAAGAAAAAGTACCTCAGCCCAGTGCCTGAAGAGGCCCAGGTCATAAAGTTCCAAAATGGAACCCGAGTGTATCAGCTGATGGGGAACCCCTGGGCATTGGAAGCAGATGGGTTGCTGATATTCACCAACCATACGTACAAGATCCACAACTCCCCCTTTAGGAAAGCTTTAAAGAAGTTGGCTGGACCCAAATACCAGTTCGACTTAAGAGAGCTTAAAGCAGATTTAAAGGACAAAGGGCCAAAGATAAACTTAACCGGCGGATCAGATCTCCCATACCATGCCATAATACATGTCCCAATTAAGAGCTACAAGGAAGCAGAAAGCCTAGAGGAATATATGAAAGAAATGTTAATAGCCCTCAGGAAAGGAATAAGCAAGGCCATAGCCTGCAGTTTTAGGCGGGTAGTGATGTACATAGATGGATTACAATCACATAATCTACAATGGGAGGCAGCAGAAAGAGTAGCGATCAATACTACAACTTATTTGGCAAAAACAATGCCGCCTGAAGCGGCACTAAAAGAGTTAGTTGTAGTGACCCCGACAAAACTGTACGAAGACAGGGAAACCAGGCTTTTGACCACCATGGCAGGGACAGAAAATAAACAACCCAAATATGACCCAAAAAGAGAAAAAGAAAATGAAGAGAAACTGTCAACATCACCAGATACAAAAAAAGACAGAGACCCTTTATGGGATGACTCCCAAAACCCGATATCATCAATAACTACCCCTATGGGGAAGCAGCTGGATGATTCTATCATAAAAAAGGGAAAGAATGGTCAAAGACAACAACAGGAAAGACCATCATGGAAAGCATCAGCAAAGATGGAACCGTTAAACGGAGACAGTGAGCAAAGTGACAGTGAAGCCTCACAAGGAGGAAAAGAAGCAGAACAAGATGAAGAAGACACAGAAAATGAGGGCAGTGCTATCTTAGAATCCGTGGCCGGCCAGACAGGAGCCATATATAAGCCACTGAGAATGGAACAAAGAAAGGGTCAAAAGAAAACGGTGAAAGTATTTGATGTGTATAGAGTGTCAGAAAGAGTGGCCAGGGATTTGATGTGGGGACCGGTGCAAGCAAGTGATGGGCGCCGGACCTACATACCCGAAGCCGGACAAAATCATTATGACATTCCGTCAGTGTGGGCAGACAGGTTGGAGGAAACAGTAGAACTGACTGTTAAAGTCACCTTAGGAGAATGGGCTAATGTTTTAAGGATGCCTTCCTTCCCAACCTTAGCAGCTTGTCAGCCCATGACCAATAAGTTTAGATCAGCTTATTTGGGAATAGCACACGATGTAATGTTGAGAAGAATGAAGAAAACGGCCTTCAAATATGCTCAGGAAACAGAAAAGAAACTCAAAGATGAGATATCGGCCAACGAAGAGGATGAGCCGTTCCAGACCGAGATGCCTCAGATACCTCACACATACCAGTTGGCTCCCGAGCGAGAACATATGAATCAATGGCTCACTCCTCCTGCATGTCAAACCCCTAGCTCCGATCCAGACAGTTATCGTGAGTATAAAAAAACTGAAAACATTGGTGAGAGAGAAAAGACCAGAAGAGAGTAATGAGGATTATATCAAGGACGTATGACCCATGATAGTCAACTCTACCGACTGTGATGCAGCTAGAAAGTTATGGCTGGGTCATGTCACCACGAACCCAGTAGGCAAGGGGGAATCAATCAACCTTTATTTATACAGGTAAATCCCATTGAGCCTCGAGGACTCATTTACAAGAGAGACCTGATTAGCTCGAACCGGAATCAGCTCAAAGTCATTACGAGAGGCTGGTTCTAGAAGACTTGGACAATGAAGACACAGATTCAAAGAGCCAAGATGTGCATGGATCAAGGACAGCGCCTCACGCCTGTCTGGTATCAGCTGAAACAGGTGCTTCCACCCACCAGATATGTGAAAGCAATAAGAATAGTGACACAAGGAAGAAGAGGGGAGATTAATTTTGCTAAAATACCCCTACATGAAACTACAGTTCCCCAGTTAGATCAGGCAGTGAAGTCGTATGATCTAGAACAACAGTATTGGGAGGAACGTAGGGAAAAAAGAGACCAAACAGAGTGAAAAAATTCAAACAAAGGCCTCCCTTAAGGCTCCACCACCAACACAATACAAAGAATGACCCCCAAGACCATCAGAGCCACGGTACAGGAACGAACAACCTAAAAAATATCAAGCTCCCACATCAACCTCAACTCCCCAAAAGTGGGGAAAGTTTATGCCTCCTGAAGAATATGCCAAACTCACACCTGAAGAAAAGAAAGCCCTACGTGAGTCCTGCATGAAGGGAAGTGGAGGGCCAGCCAAATGATGGCTGAAAGGCTGCGGGTCACCCTGGAAAACGCCTATTGGGATGGAGACGAAATCTACACTAAAGTGGATGGAAAACCCTACCTAATAGACACCGGGGCGGAGGTGTCGATGACCCGCAGGAACCTGAAAACCAAAGGACACCTCACGGCTCAGTTAGCTAACGGGACCGTGGACAAAATGCCTTTCGGAATATGGCAAGGAATAGTATGGGTAAAAGGACCCTATAATCTCATAACAACAAGAGACCTAAATGATTTAGGTAAACCAAAAAAGGATTGCAGTGCATTGAATAGATATATGGATAGGCTCATGTCAAGGTTGGTAAAAATAGGACCCACACATGAAAATCATGTGGTTAAAGACTGGTATAAGCCTGTAAATATTCCTGAAGTGATAAAACAAAAAGTAGATAAGAGTGACTTCTCCCCAGTTGGAAAAGAAAAGTTGAAACAAATAATCGAATCAGCTTCAGTAGCCAGGTTCAAGAATGATTGTGGGGACCTAGGTCCTAAGTTCGTGCATCTCATCGAGGGAGGAGTACATCCACCTGTACGGCAATATCCCCTGAACCCTGGAGCAGTAAAATAAATGAATAAAATTGTAAGGGAATTAAATGCTCTAGGAATTATTAGAGAAGAAATCAATCCTATCACGAATAGCCCCATTCAAGCTATAAAGAAGCCAGAGTCAGCTGGAGGGGGTTGGAGACCAGTAATCAACTTTAAGGCCCTAAATTGACGAACAGTAGCCAACCGAGCGAGCCTGATTAACCCACAGGGAACTCTAAAAATGCTACAAGTAAAAAAGTACAAGTCCTGCATTGATCTGGCAAACGGATTCTTCTCCCTTAGGTTAGCTAAACAATCACAAGGAAAAACAGCTTTCACTCATCAAGGAAAAAGCTATGTCTGGCAACGATTGCCACAACGGTACAAAAATTCTCCGAATGTGTTTCAGTCAGCCGTAATGGAGGTGCTTAGAGATCTGGGCACCACAATCTACATTGACGATGTGTTTATTGCAGATGACACCAAAGAGGAACATCTGGAAAGATTAACACAAGTGGTGTAGAGGGTAACAGAGGCAGGGCTGAAACTGAACTTGAAGAAGTGTCAATTTGGTCAGTTCCAAGTAAACTATCTGGGGTTCCAAGTAACAGCTGATCTGGGGCTCTCAGAGGGGTACAGGGAAAAGTTGGAGCTAATCCAACCCCCTAAATCTGAAAACGATTTGCAGAAAATCTTGGGACTATGTAATTACGTGAGAGACCATGTCCCCAATTATCAAAAATATGCCAGACCGTTGTATGCTTGCCTGAGGAAGAAGGAAGAAGAAAGTGGACAAAAAAGCTAAATAACTTGGGTGTGGTCCGCTACAAATCAAAGAACTAAAAAAGAAAATTCAAGAAGCAGTAAGACTAGAACCAAGAAGTCTGATGACAAAACTAGTGGCTGAAGACAGTTGTGAAGATGACAATGCTATGATTAAAGTAAAAAATGACAATGGCAGATTAGTAACTCTCTAGAGTTACACCCTAACCTCAGTCGAAAAGAAATTCCCCCAGGAAGAGAAAGAACTGGCAGTGCTTGCAAGATATTGGGGAATGCTGAAAGATTTGGCTCAAGGACAACCAATTAAAGTAATTACACAAAGCCAAGTGCACAAATATCTCAGATAGGGAACATAGCACAGAAATCTGTTGGAATCAGTCTCCCCACCATCACAGACATCTACACCTCCAGATGCAGGAAGAGGGCCACCTGCATCATGAAGGACCCCACCCACCCAGCACACACACTTTTTGCCCCACTCCCCTCAGGAAGGAGGTTAAGGAGCATTAAGTGTAGAACCACTAGACTGAGGAACAGCTTCTACCCTGAGGCTGTTAGACTCATGAATCTCTAACTAGAATAATCACTGTGAAAAACCATATCATGTTGCTGCTGATCTTGTTTCATGTTGCTGCTGATCTGTTTCAATGTTGATGTGTTCATGCGTGCACATCTGCTCACAGACTCATGTTCATGTTTGTGCTGATGTTCAATGTTTTATGTTATGAGTGCTTAGTGTATATTTAGTTAATGTTTTTCTTAGTTCATATCTTAGATGTTATTACTGTTTTTCTTATACATTTTATTGTTGGATGTAACTGGGACCCCGTGTACATAATTTCGCTCCACCACATGTACCACATGAGGTGCGAATGACAATAAAGAAACTCTGACTCTGACTCTGACTCTGATTGGAAAGCACCAAAGCCACAAATACACGGTGGGGAAGGTGGGAAGACATCCTTCTGGACCCTGATTTAGAGATAGGACCTGCACAACCAGCTGACAAAAAAGCGATGAAAGCATCATCTACAGAACTAAAACCAAATGAATGGGCCCTCTACACAGACGGATCCAAAAAAGGATTTGATCAGGTTGCACATTGGGGATTTATCCTAAAACATGGAAACAAGTGCTGTCATAGAAAAGGGAGAGTTATAGGAAGCGCCCAAACCGGGGAAGTAACAGCGGACCTGGAAGGACTGCTTGAAATGACAAACAGAAAAATAAAGACAGCAAGAATCGTAACTGAGTTATTATTGCACACAGGCCCTGCAAAAGGATTTGTCCATTTGGGAAGAGAATGGATTTGAGAGTGCAAACGGGAAAGTGGTAGCTCATCATGACTTGTGGAAGAAAATAGCTGAATTGAGACTGAATCTACAGTTAGAAATAGAGCACCAAAAGTCCCATACCAGAGAAGGAAAGCACTGGCAGGGTAATGATGAAGTGGATCGATATGTTCAACAAAGAAAAATTGTTTTTATCGGGATCAAGAAGTGGGACAGAACTTCCCAGGGTGGGAGGGTCCCAGAAGAGTATGTGGTTCAGGTGGTGCAGAGTGTGCATGAGGCCCTAGGACATGCAGGAGTATTACCTACACGTAAGGAATTGTAGAATCAGGAGCTCTGGATTCCCTTGAAACAAGTCCACAAGGTGCTACAGGACTGTGAAGTACGTGGTCAATATAACGCAGGACGGCGAGGACACCGAGTGGATGGGCAGACCATTAAAAGTACCAAACCAAGGGGATCTGTGTGCATGGATGTTGCCGGACCCATGGGAGTCACTGGGAAGAAGGGAGAAAAATACCTTCTGGTACTAGTAGACTCAATGTCAGGGTACGTGGTAGTGAAACCAGCAAGAAAGGCTAACGAGAACAGTGTGGTCAACATGCTGGAGCAAGTTTGTGGGTCGTTAGGCGTACCAAAAGAACTGAGAACTGATAATGGAACACATTTCCGCAATGCACAGTTGATCACTGGTGCTGAACTTTTGGGGTGATGCGTGTTTACTCACCACCCTACACACCACAAGCCAACGGGGTTGCCGAAAGAACCATAGGATTGGTCAAAATTGGATAGCTAAAAATGCTAATACCAAACATTGGAGTACTAAAACTGTGGAGATAGGGCAAGCGTTGAATGACAGGCGTTGAGCTAATAGGCCCTCCCCGCGACAGTTCACCACCCATGAGAGTGGGCGGGATTCTAAGGATAAAGAGGAACAACCAGAGCTTGACATTTCATTCAAGGTGGGACAGAAGGTGTGGATTAAGGCACAGGATCACATGTTAGCAGCAGCAGTGAAACCTAAATACGGCACCACAGACAGAGTAAAAAAGATATTAGATAAGATCCAGTCCCCCGGCACAAACAGAGTAATATTGTGTATGCTGTTCAGTGTCAGGAGGGCTGTGATCAGTCTTACATTGGGGAAACTAAACAGCCACTGGCCAAAAGGATGGCCCAGCACAGAAGATCAACATCATCAGGCCAGGATTCTGCGGTCTACACTCATCTCCAGGCCAGCGGTCACTCTTTCAGGGATGAAGATGTGCACATCTTGGACAGAGAGGAACGATGGTTTGAGAGAGGAGTAAAGGAGGCCATCTTGTCCCAAATGTCCGGTAAGATGGCGCCCGTGTACATGGCCTGCAATCTACCTCTGACGATACTGTTTGGATTATTTCTGCTTTTTTCGTTTTTTGTCTGGGATATCAACTCGCTGCTTGTGTATGACCGACAACAGCTCCTCGATCTTCGATTGTCTGTATCTGCTGTCGCTGATTCGGACCACTTTGATCGTGACTCGGGACCCCCCCCCCCCCCCTTCCACCCCTTCTGGCAGACGTGCCTGCTTGTTTACGCTGGGCCCCAAGCCAGCCTTCTCGGAGATATCGCTCCAGACGCCGGGGAAAACGTGCCGACTCAAAGCTCTGCGTGGTCAACGTTTCCACAGCCAGCTTCCTACGTGCCCGGACCAGGGAAAATATGGGTGTTGTCTACCGGCCCGGTGCTTGGACCGTCCTGGAGGCGCTGTTTTTAAAAATCTGCAACCATTGGCGCGCACCACCCCCACCATGGCTGGTTCTGTGTCGGACCAGATCAGGACATGCCTCAACAACACAAGGTCTGTTGCCAACAAGACTTTTATTCTAAATGACTTTTTTAAAGACGAGGGACTAGATTTTCTTTTTCTCACTGAATCCTGGTTGCCTTTGGGTGATTCAAGCGCCTTGGTGGAACTTTTACCTCCGGACTGTCTGTGTTTTAATGCCCCGCGGCCATCAGGTCGGCGGGGTGGTGGAATATTAACTGTATTTAAATCAAACTTTTCCTGTAAACAGTTGTCCACCCTCATGCCCTGCTCTAGGAGCTGAGTGCTTTTGAACTCGGACATTCCCCGCCCGTTCTGTGTGCGATTGTTTATCGCCCCCCTCGTTCCAAGGACTTCATAAGTGAATTCTCTGATTTTCTGGCTTACATCACACCAAGATATGATCACTTTATTATCGTTGGTGACTTTAATATTCACGTCTGTTGTCAGGAGAAGCCGTTAGTGAAGGACTTCCTTGATTTGTTAGACTCATTTAATTTAACTCAACATGTAAATGCTCCCACCCAACAACACGGTCACACTCTGGATCTCATTTTAACACGTGATGTCTCTGTTTGTAATTTGGTAATCGGTGACAACGTTCTCTCAGACCACATGCCTGTCTTGTTTGATATCATCCCGCCTTGTCCTACTGCAAAGTCATGTGATTCTGCGCGTACTTCACGCGCCATTAACCGTTTCACTGCTGCACGCTTTACTGAAGCTTTTAGCTCTGAGAGGATCGATCAGCTCTCAGTGTCTCTCTCCACCGAGGAGCTAACCACTCAGTTTAACTCTGTTTGCTTAAATATTCTGGACCGTGTTGATCCCGCTAAAACCAGGAAAACAAAACTTCTATCAGAACCATGGCTTAATGACATCACTCAAGCTGTTAGACAGCAGTGTAAGAGAGCAGAACGCAGGTGGAGGAAAGACAGGCTGCAGGTTTCTTTTCAAATCCTAAAGGAGAGTTGGCGTCATTATCAGAAGGCAGTTAAAGCCGCCAAATCGAAGTTCTTTTCTGC